TTTTTCTTTTGAGACAGAGTCTCACTCTGTTGCCCAGGCTGGAGTGCAGTGGTGCGATCTCAGCTCACTGCAACCTCCACTTCCCGGGTTCAAGCAATTCTCCTGCCTCACCCTCCTGAGTAGCTGGGACTACAGGCACCCGACACCACACTCAACTAATTTTTATATTTTTATAGAGACGGAGTGTCACCATATTGGCCAGGCTGGTCTTGAACTCCCGACCTTGTGATCCGCCCACCTCGGCCTACCAAAGTGCCGGAATTACAGGCATGAGTCCCCACCCCCAACCTAATCTCTTTTTTCCTAGAGACAGAGTCTCACTATGTTGCCCAGACTACAGGCATTTTTAATTGACAGGTTTTTTCGAATGCTACATTTGCTTCTCATAACTTAGAAGACTTGGCCACATTGAGTTTTTTTTTTTTTTTCCCCTATCAAAGCCTTTTTCTTTTTGACAGTTTTGCTGTTGCCCAGGCTGGAGTGCCATGGAGGAATCATGGCTCACTCTGCTCCAGCGGGCTCCTTCTTTCCCTAGAGTGTGACCTCAGCAGGCCTCGTGGACTCTAAGTTAGAAAACCTCTGAGGGGCCGGGTTTGGTGGCTCACGCCTGTGAGCTACTGCAGCCTTGACCTCCTGCGCTCAGGAGATCTTAACACCATAGCCTCCCGAGTAGCTAGGACCACAGGCACTGGCCACTATGCCCGGCGAATTTTTTTCACTATTTGTAGAGACGGGGTCTCCCTGTGTTGCCAAGGTTGCAAAGCCTTTTTTCTTTTTTTTTTTGGAGGCGTGTCTTGCACTGTCACCCAGGCTGGAGTGCAATGGCGCAATCTCGGCTCACTACAACCTCTGCCTCCCGGGTTCACGATTCTCCTGCCTCAGCCTCCCAAGTAGCTGGGATTACAGGTACACATGACCAAACTCGGCTAATTTTTTGTATTTTTAGTAGAGACGAGGTTTCACTATGTTGGCCAGGCTGGTCTTGAACTTCTGCCCTCCTGATCCGCCCACCTTGGCCTCCCAAAGTGCTGGGATTACAGGCTTGAGCCACCGCTCCCAGCTTGCAAAGCATTTTTCACGAGGCACAAGTACCTCACCTGTTTTCTCTGCCATGTAAAGTGTTCCTCCCCGGGCAGGAGCCAGCATACACCCACCCTCCGGTTTTCTGGGATGGGAGCTTTCAGAAGACTATGAACTGCTGCTATGGCCAAGCCTCTATGGAAAATCAGAAGAGGCCACAGCAAAAGGCTGGGTGCAGTGGCTTACGCCTGTAATCCCAGCACTTTGGGAGGCCAAGGCGGGTGGATCACCTGAGGTCAGGAGTTCAAAACCAGCCTGGCCAACATGGTGAAACCCCATCTCTACTAAAAATAAAAAATTAGCGGGGTGTGGTGGCGGACACCTGTAATCACAGTTACTTGGGAAGCTGAGGCTGAAGAATTGCTCGAACCCAGGAGGTGGAGATTGCAGTGAGCTGAGATCCCACCACTGCACTCCAGCCTGGGCAACAAGAGCAAAACTCTGTCTCAGGGGTGGGGGAGGGAAAAAAAAAAAAGAGGCCAGCAAGGTTCTGTTTCCCTGCTTGTAGGTGGAGAACATTCTCTCCTCATGTGTAAGCAGATGAGGCCCACCTGAGTGACAGGGCAGAGCCCTGGCTGCTGACCAACCCCCACCTACCTGGGGCAAGTACCTGGGATCCCCTTAGGGGACTAATAGGTGCCCCCAGGTAACAGATTCAGGCCAGGGCTGTGGCACTGCTTGAAGTTTTCTAGAACCCGTGTGCAGTGCAGAGGTACAGGGAGGACAGTGTTGAGGGCAGTGTTGAGGGCAGGTTTGTGCTGGCAGCAATGCTGACCGAAGATCTGTGTTTCACTTGGTTCTCCTGGCCCTTCCAGGGTCGGGACAGTTACCCCCTCCTTTCCACAGCTTCCCAACTAGTCACTGCAGACCAGGATTCAAACCCAGGCAGTCTTCTCAGGCACCCTCCATCTGATTTTTGTTTTCTGGCCATCTCCAAGTAGATTCTGGCCTGACACCCAAGGCAGCCCAGCCGGGTGCTGTGGGGGCTTCCATGGGGTTGTTTGATCACATCTGACTTCCAGGCCAGAGTGAGCTTCTGGAGAGAGGCAGGTGGTTTCTCAGCACTAGCCATCCACTGAATGAACATTCATGAGTCTGGGATGTAAAACTGATTTTATATTCTGGCCGGGCGCGGTGGCTCTCACCTGTAATTCCAGCACTTTGGGAGGCCAAGGCGGGTAGATCCACGGGGTCAGGAGATTGAGACCATCCTGGCTAACACGGTG